CAGTAGTTACGGGCCTATCATCGTCATTTTTTTCTAAAATCGAAAAGATATGTTCGGCATGCCACAAGGTGCCTTTGACCGTTTTGAAAAGATGGAGTTCAGTGCGTGCGCAAATTTATTCTGTAGTTTGGGGTTGAATGCATGACACTTTTCAGCTGGTTACGCATCAGCGTTCTGTGAGCTAGCTCAGACATTCGCCGTGATTGATGTGCTTGTCGCACTGGCCGTCCTTGCCGCAACATCGCCATTCGGTTATGTGCGCCCACAGTTGCATACCGAAGGTTAGCCTTTGTGGAACTCCTCTGAAATGAGAATTCAAATCAGAATGGATTTTAAAAAAACCGACTGGTTCCAAATGCTCAGCTCCCTTCTCAAAGTGCGCTTCAGCAAGAGCTTGCTGCTCTGCCTTCATCCTCTGGTTTAGCTCCTGTTAACGCAATAGTTTCACAAGGCCAGTATCATGAGGCATTCGGGTGAAAATTTCAAGCTGAAAGGGTACATCGGATGAGTATTTGAACGAACTCTAACTGGGCTTGCTTCTTTCTTTTCAGCGAACAAAATTAGCATAAATGATTTGCAGGCAAACATTTCTTGCTGCGCACAAACCCCGTCCTTCATCACTTCTTCTTTGTTCTTTTATTTGCCAAGAAATAACATGCCTCATTCATCTTTTTTAAAGCCGCTGTATTCCACTTTTGATAACTGATCAGTTAGTAGCAACCCACACTGGTGAAGACATATTGTGGCCAGGTCCGTTTCGCAATTCTTTGCTTGCCAGGCATTGCTCCGCGACCGAACACCTCATTCGTAATGAACTTCTAGCGTGTTGGGCATAAAACTGAGCGGTTAGAATTTATTCGATTGAGCATGTATAGTAGATAGCACTGTCAGGTTCCTGAACAGTATGTGATAAACGTGCAGCTATGCAGGAATGGCTATGGTGAAAAGAAGGTACTGTGTTGTATTATGGAAAATTTCAGAAATTTCGATCTTTTTTCTTTCTTTGGGGTCATTTTTACATTGCGAGAGAAATGGAATATTGCAGTTTTTGAAAGCTAGGAGATATGCATTCCTTTTGGCGGCATTTTTACCATGTGCTGCATTTGTAAATAGTTGTTCATTTCCCTCCACATTTCGAACAATTTACTTCCAGGGCATCAAATTTTGGATTTGCGCAGCTGCCGCCATCCGGTGATGGAGGCAACTCCGAATTCTCCGCAGTTTATACCCAACGACATTGTGCTGGGCAACGAACAAGAAGGTTAATAAACTTATGTCGTTAAAAGCATGCATTCTTTGTTTGCCAGAACCACCGAAACTGTCCAGACGCTTGTTGGGAGAGACGCAATTTTGCTGAGCATGGTGCTGAGGAGTGCAACTTCAATATTTCTTCTGTTCTTGTCGTTTAACGGTAGTTGGTGCTGCTCTTAGTCTTGAAGTCGTTGATTCAGCCAGTTGGAAAACCACTTCCTTTTTGATTAATTGATAGTAAATTGTTGTCGACGTATGTCAGCTTGCTTCTGGATGAGGGAGCTTTCTGCAGCTTTTTCAGCTTTGGTTGCTTTTGGCATGTCTCCATCTCCTGTACCGAATGAGGTATGAAGGGGTTTTTTGCTTTAAAATCTGACTTGTTCCAATCGAGCGGCATTCGCCTATTTTTTTTTTTCTTGACAGATGAAGCGCGGTTTTTGATGTTGACGGGTGCGAATATGGGTGGTAAAAGTACTTATTTACGTTGCTGTGCGCTTACTGTTCTTCTTGCGCAAATCGGTTCATTTGTGCCTTGCAGCAGTGCGCGATTTTCTCTCATTGATGGCATCTATACAAGGTTCGTTTTTGCTTCACTTC